AATTTTTGAGATCTGACAGGCCAACTCATCAAGTCTGGGCAGTGCACTCGATGAGTAGGGCCAAATCATCGAGTTCTGGGCACCACACTTGTCGAGTAGGGCCAACTCGTCAAGTTCCAAAATTGAACTTGTCAAGTTTGATGATCAGACAACAGAAAAACATTTTTCTTGTTCTTTGGACATCTCACTCTTGCACCAATTCAATTGAAAAACATCATAGACTCTGATACCATTGATGGTTTTTGAGCATATCAACATTCCTATGTGATCTTGCAACCCTAATTACTTTGGATCTAAGTTTTTTTCTATTGAACATACAAATATGAATACCAAAGCATTGAACCCTAAAACTAGCATACACAATTCAAAAAATCATATGAACATTAGGGTTTGATAATTACCTCACTTGTTATGTAGCAATAACAAGAACACCTTGAGGTCCTTGACCTTTGAAATCTTAGTGCCCCAAGTGTTGCACTTCTAATGGAGTCACAAACACTTAATGCAAAGAATGACTTGGAGGGAGGTGAAAACCGGCCACTCTAGGGTTTCATGAAACATAGGGCCGATATTCCTTATGGAGAGGTTCTATATATAGTTGTAGCTACTATGCTTTTCATGTAGAAACGCTACTACCTTGCTTAAGGCTTTAGTAGCCCATAGACCCCTCTTTAGAGCCCTTAGACAAAATCTATAAGGCCTCCCTATACGATTTTGTCTACTTCACTCTATCACGTCCATCGGCTCAAAATTTGCAACTATCAATGATTTGCAAAACCAGCCCCTCCATTATTAATCGGTTCCTTTAATCCCAAAATTAATGCTAAATTAATTTCTGATTAATTACCAATTAATAATATGATTTCCAAATAATATATTAATCTTATAATATATAAATAAAATCATTTTGAGTACCAATTTATTATTCATATAATAAATCCTACTCTTTCTCCACTTGTCATCCTGTCAAGTTGCATGAGTAAAGGCAACCCAAAAGGACCATGCTCATAATGAAATCAAGTACATACCAAATATAGTTATGGGCTTAGATAGCTAATCCAACATGAAACTCATTCCATAACATAGATCCATACACATACACATCTAGACAATGGGAACATGTGTGACAAAAAAACATATATAGTGTATAACATCATAAATCCAAACAAAAATACAAATATATCTAAAATAAACATTCACAGTGATCGGTTTTCTAACTTACAAACAATAATAATAATGTAGTGGAATCATAAACATTTTATAGTACAAGAAACCTAGAGATCTATGACATTTTATCAATTTATAGCATTATACTTATGAAACAATCCTCTAACCTATATAATATCGAAATTCATACAGTCAGAATTCATTATGACGTCCCGAAAACCTCATTGTAAAGATTTCATTTTTAGTATGATCAAAACACCAGTTATCTTTTGCTCAAACATTTAAAAGTATATCATAATAAAACAATTTCAGAGTAAAATCCTAAAATCACTAAGTTGCAGAAAACATGGGTGTGAGCGTTGCGATCAAGCTGAGCCTTCCCTTTTGAACCAGAAGTACCTGAAACCATAAAAAACAGTTGTAAGCACAAAGTTTAGTGAGTTCCCCAAAATACCACATAACATACATGTAATAGAAGGTTCTATGTGATAACTAGATTCTTGCTATTTTGCCACGGTCCATATAATGGCCTTTACTTGTCAAGTCGGGGGCCAAACACCCTGAATCTCACAAACAAGTGCCAAGAGCCACCTCCTGATCTTCCACACAAGCAACACAAGTAAAACAAACATATAATATACAACTAACAATTTACTTAACTGTCAAGGTCTGAACCCTGGTCTTGCTCATAGATTTGGTAGGAGCCACCTCCGGCTCATTCATAAAAATGCCAAGGGACACCCCTTGGTCTTCCAATAACATAAGCCAATGGGTCGGCAGTGGTTCCTTCAACCCATTGTACAGTGAGGAGACTCACCTTAATCCAAGATAACCGAATACTCGAGCCACTGCTACTGGAATCCTCGTACTAACATCATCAAATAATATTTCATCAATAATTGATTCCGATCCAACCAAGAATTCTAGTCCAATAACCAAACCTTCAGGGTAAAAGACAATTTTCACTTTTTTCTTACTTTGCCAATATCCCAATACCAATCCACTAGCACCATAAGCCCAAATCCCCTAAATGACACCACAAGGCCCAATAAGGCCTAAAATCCAAATTGGGCCCAAACCCATCGTAGGCCCAACCCGAGAAGACCCAATATCCTAAAAGGCCCAAAATAGTCATTGGCCAACCATGGTCAAACTTCTAGTTAGTGGTTAAAGGTCAAAAGGCAACATTTCAAGGAAGCTCAAACAGGTTGACTATGATCTGCGTACTCAGCTGGTACGCCTAGCATACTCCCTTTAGGGCTGGTACGTGCAGTCTATGAGATGGGTACGACCAACGTACTCCCCTGAACCCCATTCTACTGCATTAAGCACTTAATCACTTAATCCGTTGCTCCAGACTCTCAGATTGGATTCCTATGGATGACTTATCACGTAAAGTTGGCAACTTTACTTGCATGCATTGCTTAATGAGGCTCTAGAGTTAAAAGAGCTTAATAAAGGGTCTTAACACATGCATGAGTCTAAATACACCATAAAGTTTGCATTTTTATGCTTAAGGGACCCCTTCAATGTCAAGATCTATAAGATTCTGCTTTTGAAACAACCTTAGCTCAAAAGGATAAAACAAAAGGGACTAAAATGGTCATAAACAAGCCCAATAGAAGATCTATACAAGGAGTAGACAAGATATGGACTTTATACCTCAAAGGTAACGAAATGAAGATGCTAAATCAGGATCTCTAAGCTCCCCTCCAAAGAATGAGTCTTCAACCTTATTCTTCTGTTACACAAACCACCACAAACACTCTTCCAAGCTCCAAAGCTCACTCAAGGCACTCTATGGTTTCAATATTAGGCTAAAGGGAATGAGGCTAATCTAAAATGTCCAGAGGAAAGATATAATGATGCTTATATAGGGGTAAAACCCCACAACTAGGGTTTCATGCGGAAGGGAGTACGCCCCATGTACATCTTAATACACTTGTCTTATTCAAAGATAACCCGCGACATGGCAAGCTATACTCCCAGCGTACTTGGTGAGTACACCCCACGTACTCGACTAAGTCTCAAAACACTTAAACATCATTTGGCCATAAATCCTTCTTTCTAACTCTGTTTCCGACAAATGTTATATCCACGGAAAGATGACGAGAATCCCTACACTTCTATGAACTCACCTTCACCTTAAAACTTCCCGAATTTTAACACAAAATTCATAAAGGTCCGGACTATCAAACTACGTTTGTACCCTTGGGCTCCAAAAAATAATCGAACACTTGGACCACGTAGTCTGTAACACCTACATCCAAAAAGGGCCAATTCACTTATTCCCTAAGGCCCTAAGCCTTATGTTAACCAATAATTGGGCCACGACCCCGAATACTGAAACAATTCGAAACCGAGTGTTACAACTCTCCCCCAGTTAAATTATATTTTGTCCACTAAATCTCTCCTTAATAACACTTAGCCATAACAAATAAGCCAAACAGCTCATCCACACTCTGATACGACTGAAGGAATACATCACACATATAACAACATCCAAAACCTGCAACCGAACCAGGCCTTAGAAAGATATTAACCCTTGAGGAATAATCATTACCACCTTCACTGAAATTCGAGATTCTGAAACCCGGTCTGACTCCCTGACAGACATCCCGCTACGAAACACTGATAGATTCACTACTTTAAAAACAACATTTTATGATGTGCATTTCACTGAAATTAAAGACGACATGCTTTTACGCGTCGTCTATAGACGACGCGCATTTACGACGCGCAATGCGTATCAAGGAAGCCCATATCATAAAGGAAGACGACACGCAGTTGCGTGTCATAAGTTTACGATGCACATTTAGGACACGCATTGATACAGACGACGCGCATTTAAGACACACATTTACGACGCGCAATGCGTATCAAGGAATCCCCTGTCATAAAGGAAGACGAAACGCAGTTGCGTGTCGTAAGTTTACGACGCACGTTGAGTACACGCATTGCGTATCATTAAAGCCCCTGTCATAAATGAAGATGACATGCATTTGCGTGTCATAAACTTTAGCAACCATTTACGATATACATTTACGACACGTCTTTACGATACTCATTTACACATAATACAAAAATATGGAAACAAATATATACCAAAACAATCAATTTCATCCATAACATCAAGTCAAAAAATTTTAATACATTGGTATTAAGGAGATCTGATTGTACATTGTTAATAAGAGGTTTTCCCTAACTATATAACCTAGTACTACATTGCTATTAAGGGACACCTTGTTTCTTATATCATGTCAAAAAAATCCTTCGTGTCAAAAAATTGGTTGTTGTCCACCGGCTGTAGATGGCAAGTAATGACTTGAACATTAGCTGAAACAAAAAAAGCTTTTATTAATCACACAATCAATAGCATTTATAAGTACATCAGAATGCATATATATACTAACAGATGTGATATAATATGTACGATCCAAGAACTTCATTAGCTTATCATTGACTGAAGGAAATTGCTCATATGAAATTTACTCAACCTACAATATATTATAAAAACAAGTGTATGAGATGGAGCAATCAGCAACTTCCTTTTTACAACTTCATCTCTTTTTTATAAAGAAATCTTGTCAAATTCCTTTTTACAACTTCATTTCTTTTTATAAAACGTAAATGGGCCATACGCCCTACAAACTTATAGACCAACTGTGAGCAAAGCCCAATATGCATAATCCCTATGTGTTGTGATAGATACATTTTAGTTCTCGTGTTTACTATTCTTGATTACATTTACATAATTTTTTTTGTCATTTAAATGAATCGTTAGAGATTTTTATATAAAAAATAATAATAAAGAAATAGCACGAAACCATTAGTCAATCTTGTACCAGAAACATTGGTGTCAATAGACTCCACCATTCTCCATATAAGATCAAGTGATTGATATTTGCTCCATAGAGTGCTGGAAGTGAAAAGAGTTCAAGATCCGAGTTCTTTATTGGACTTGCAATTTCAAAGAGATAAACTGCAATGTGTATGGACACCATCGTGCATCTGCAATGTGAAAAAAAAAATTATCAGAGGAAAACATAGATGCAGTATCAGAACTCTATCTTGAATACAAACAGTTACCATAAACTGCAACATAAACCACCCTACAAAATGTCCACCAAAAAAATAACGATAATACCCCTGGTAAAAAAGAGAAACCTCAAGCCGCCTTAGGAACCGGGGTGTTCTCTGGCACTGTAACTGACCTATAAATTCATCATATCATTAAATGATTCATATATATATATATATATATATATATATATATATATATATATATATATATATATAACATGAATAAATAAATCTCACGTGCACCAAGAACACATCCAATGCAAGAACAAGGCTAACCCAAGGAGGGGTACCTTGGTAATATGGCGTAGCTGAAGTAGTAAGATCCTTGTCCACTAGGAATCCTACAGGGGCCTGCATCCCTAAAATAGCAGCACCCATTCCCACATGGTTCATGTCTAATTGTGAATTACCAGAGAAGATTTTGACTAGGACACCAGAAAGCAACAAACCACCAGACCGAATCACATTTCTTTCTCTCCATCTATCAAACATGAGCTGCTCATTCTTTTGAAGCTCCAAATACTTGTTCATGTCCAAACATCCATAATGGATTTCTCTTTCTCTTATATACGTTGAAGCAACACTTTTATCATGTACAGGTGGGTCCCAACTTCCATGGTTGTTGCCTTGTTGTTCTTGGATCAATTCCAAATTCTGTACCATACAATCCAAAGTTGAAATTTCACTGGCACAAGCTAACAAGAGATGATGAATAATTTAATTACCTGATATGGGTCCCACAGTTTTGGTTTTAGGGTTTTAGGAGTCTGTATTATTGGAGTTGAAGGAACAACATCAGTGTCATTCCATTTCAACCAAGGTAGATTAACACCTTCCATTTCAACAGGAACAGACTTCATTCCTGCTACTACATCAACATGACAAGGACTACTATTTTGGATTGGTTTTGTAGCTCCAACTAAGGTTGAACTCGTGTCACTTCTTTCACCATCAAAAGAAGAAAATTTTGAATCTTTAATAATTGATATGAAATCTTCAAGATATCTCTCTGCTTCTTCGTTTAATCTTTTATACATTCTTCTCCTATCATTGCTCCTCTGCAAGTTCAATACAATTACCCTTTGAAACTAAAATTTCTTGGTATTTCTCATTCTGCTCCTCATCTAGCCCTACAAAGGTTGCCACAATGTAGCCTTATAAAACTATACCTTTCTGGAGTATAAAGCTTTCTGTGCATTAACAATGTTGTTTTACTCAGGAAGCACCTCCATAGGTTGCAAACAAGGGCAATCACCTTCACAATAATAATCAACAAAAACATTTCATCACTTTTTTTCTATTCTTGGTAATGGAATACAATAATATTTCCTACAATTTGCCCTTGATGAACAAAACAAAATATATTGTAATAACAACTTACTGGCAACTGGTATTCTGTTATGGAAACTGTACAACCTCCTCTTATGGCAAAATGAGCACAACCAGGATACTTCCCCTGTCTACAATTTAAATCAAGGTATATATACCCGAAATCCCCTGAAATACATTTAATAACAAAACAAACAACAGTTAATTACATTTTTGGTCCCCCTGATTTTTGCAATTTTGGTCCTTATTTGAGGTTTTTGGTATCTATTTCAATAAAATGACTATATTTTTGGGGCCAAAGTTGAAAACAATCATCTATTACTTGGAACAAAGACCAAAAAAGTTATAAGAACCTCAAAGGATGACCAAAACTACAAGAGAAAACTTCAGAGGACCAAATGGGGATCGGTTTTAAAAATTGTATCACCAATAGATGCTATTTATAATAGCTTCATATTTTCAAATTTCTTTGATAAAACCAAACACATAATATGTAGTTTAGCCTTTTTTCTTTACCACTATTGAATAAATATTTGAAAACATGTTTAAATGAAAGGAGTAGAATTAGAATAAGATACCTTGATATTAGATGAATGTCCAGGTAAATGGTCTTGGATCATTTCTTTTGATACAAACCCAACGCCACCTGTCCATCCCTCCGGTGGCTTCACAAATACAAAACCAGACCCTTTATTTGAATTTATATTTTATAATAAACCCAAAAAAACAGCAACCTACTTTCATTGATTTGTTTATCATAGGCTTTTTTTCTAAGAATAATACCTACCTGATTCAATACATAGTAAACTTTGAAGTGATCAGGGTAATTAGAAGTACGTCCCTCCAGTTCTTACTGTAAGTGCAATGAATCCATCATCAAATTATTTAAATTATCCTTAATTAAATACTTATAATAAACTAAATATGTATGTGTGTATATATATATATATATATATATATATATATATATATATATATATATATATATATATATATATATATAACTAATTAGTTAATTACTTGCCTTAAGAAGGATGTCATCAGATGTGACATTAGCATAGATGAGATGCACCTTTGTCTTGTCTGAAGGGTTTTCAAGAATAGCTCTAACAACCTAACACATAATATAAATTACCATCTTATTTTATTTTATTTAAGAAAAGGACTTGATAAGCTTAAAAATAAATAAATAAACACCTGAAACATTGAAGTGATGCCAGATCCACCATCTATCATTCCAAAGGCTCTAACCTGACCTGGTTAATACCTCAAATGCCTCTATAAATGTAATTTAACATATTTAAAGCTCGCGTCCATTCACCTCCAAATAGAAGAATGTAATTAGTTGGATTACTAAAGGTGAGGATGCAGAAAACTGCTTTGATTCTAAATTAATATCCTAAATGTGCACATAGATCATGACACTTTTTCATAACAACTTCTAAATCAAAATCAACTTTCTTAAGCGTTGATACATCAAATCCAGTTATCAAATAATACAACAAAAACCAAAGAGGAGTAGCATTACCTTATATTTCTCCACCAGTTCGTGATCCACAACCTAAAAGTAAAAAAAAAAAAAAAAAAAAAAAAAAAAAAAAATATTGTAACAGATCTCTGAAGAATCAGAATAAGTGGAAGAAGGACGTAACCTACCAGAAGGTGTGGGAATGAAGTGGGGAAGAAACAAGTTAGAAATAGAGTAGATGATGAATCCAAAGGGTCAAAGATAGGGGGTTTTGGAGGCACACTCGACTGATTTCCGTTTCTTGTAAACAACATTTGATTGTACCGATAATGACCCCACTTTAGGGATCTCGTATCTTCCCTCCCTTTACATACATTAAAATAAATAAATCATAATTTGAAACAAAGAACAAGTCATTGAAAGAAAGTTACTTACAGAATTACCTGACAGCTGGATTAAGAGGGGAAGAAGCAGAGGGAAGATTAGTTCCATGAACTGAATTGGAAGAACCAAGAGATGAATGAGCGGGACCGGGACCAGATCCAGGAAGCATAAGTGGTCCAGTACTGTGATTCAGTACTGGTAACCACTCGGGCCTTGAAAACAAACTGGAACAACATCTGGGTTCGATGAGATTGGTTCGGATAGTTATAGAGGTATATTTCTCCACCGAACATGAAGCCATACCTAAGAAGGGGATGATTATGAAGAAAACCATTGGGAAAGTCAGTGCGGGTTGGAGGTAGTTGAGGTGGGTATCAAGCGGGGTTTTAGGGTTTTTTTGATCGATTAAGATTTTAGGAACTTCAAATATGAAATTATCGATGTTTTACACATAATGCTTTTAGGGTTTCTTTTGTTGAAGAGGATTTTACATACGAAGAAGAAGAAGGACGAGAGTATCAAGGTGGGGTTTTTATTTTTTTGGCTTTCATTTCCCTTGGCAATTAAAAAATTGGAGAACACGCATTCATAAAGAAAAATATAAAGCGACAATTTTAGACAACATGCTTTTTTATAATAGGTGCCCTCCGTGTTTTAATTTTTTTTTTGTTCGACACTGTTTTTAGGGCACGCACAAATGTGTGTCCTTTATCTTTCAAATTTTGCAAAGCTGACATTATTTTGTAGGGAACGCACAAATGTGCGTCCTCTATCAGCGAGTGTCATTGTTTGCGCGTCATTAAAGGGCTATTTTCTAGTAGTGATTAATTCCAAATTGTATCCCAAGCTAATCAAACACTTCCAACCATTGATTATTTTGTTGTTTCTACCGAAAACCAAATCACTGACCCATTCATTGCTATGAAACACTTTTACTTGACAGAAAGACTCAGATGATCCTTCAAGTAAAAGATTCATCCTTGTAATGGTTAGACTCAAACGAGAGTTGTGCAGCAGTGTCGAATCAATTACTCTGAGATTATTTAATCGAAACGGAAAGTGACATAGCATATTCTCCGAATAACAAGTGATTCTACACATGAGTCCCAAATCACTAACACTGCCTTGACTTATTTTGTTGCCCTCTAGTGGCTTTCTAAAAGTAGCCAAGACCTCCCTGGTCCCAACTTACCTGCCAACAAACTGATTCATCGGATTTCCACATGGTTGTTGAGTCAAATAGTCATATGCAGTCACACAACGTGACTTCCGAATGAAGTTCTCGTATGACAATAATTTTCCTAGCTACCTCGCCACTACGGCTCTAACAACGTTTCTAATCCAACCGATCATAATCCACCACCAAACCTGACATCACCAAATCTAATGCTAAAAGTGAATGTTATATGACCATATGTAGTCTTATATCAAAATTAGCCTCACACAAACCACCACTTCCTTGATCCCACAAATTTTTTGTGGCCTTCCCAAAGTCTCACATCCTGACACACAATGGGTTGGACCCTCCGGTCAGATCTCAGTAAACACAAAATATAGCATATACATCACACAAACAAAATGCATAATATCACATAACTCAAATAAGCACAAAAGACCCTCCAGTAACACATAGATACCACTCATCATAAAGTATAGTGAGAGGACTCACCTCATAAGAACTCGGATAATCTCAAACTCGAATCACCGGTCTAGCCTCCACCTATCACAGTACGATAATTATCCTTAATTAATAACCACTCTCAATGAAGCTAGACCAACCCTTCTACAAACTCACAGAAGGGTAAAAGACCATTTTACCCCTCCACGACCATAAAAGTCCACAAATTAACCAAACGCTAAAAGTCAACCAAAAGTCAACCACAGAGGGTACGTTGCACGTACTAGCTCTCTATGTTGGGCATACTCGGCTGCCATGCAGGCATCGGGGATACTTGACCCCTATGATGCGCGTACTGGGATTAAGCCCAGCGTACGTCCTAGTTTCACTCTTTCAACTTAATTGGTCTTAATCATTTAAGACCTTGGCTCATATCACAGATCTTGACTAATAGCTCTTACTCCATAAAGTTAGTGACTTTAAGCATTTGCATTGCTAATAAGGTCACAAACACACAAAACTCTCACCCACTTAACTCAAAATGCGCATAAATCATGCATGGCTTGATCCAACGTCCAATTCTTGATTTTTATGACACTACACAACTGAATACACTCAAAAGGGATTGATCATAGTCTTTGGAGCTCAATATCTCATAAAGTCTCCAACTTTTGGGACAAAACCCTAAAAGACTGTACTATGATGCATAAATCAAAAGGTTGAGAAAGTTTGAAGCTTTATACCTCTATATGAAGCTCCCAAATGAGATATGTTCAAATCTAAGGTCCTGGACTCTCACTCCTTCTTCTCCAAAGCTTCTTCTTCACTCCAAGAACACACAAAATCACTCAAATGCACTCACAAGCTCTATGAACAAACGTTTAGGGTTTAAGAGGGTTCGTTGTCTGAGAATGGTGGCCAGGAATGAGGCAGTGCATCATATCCTTTATATTGGGGACTCACTCT